CCAGACAGGTTAAGAATATGGTTTTGGAGAAGTTTAAAGCAGGCTTAGGTTATAAAAAGATTTAGTTACCAACATCTGGTGAAAATTTCATGTCATTAGCACCTCTAGTAATATATTTACTGAGAAAAATGTTGACGTGTTCAATACTTATTTTACCCGCTGTATATTGTTAACGCAACAGACAAACAGATGAACACACACACACACACAAACACACAGGCAAACACAGTATCATCTTTGCTGTCAGCAGCTGGTGATCAAAGGACATATCTGATCCATAAGTACACAGCCTGAATTAGTTGTCCTGTCTCTTTTTATTATTGAATGAATTATTTGAGCACAGTTATAAACATCAACATAGGATATTAAACAGATTCTGTATATAAATGCTGCATAGCTTATCTTTTTGGGATAATATCAACAGATTTGTGTAAAATGATCAAAGAAGAATATTTTCAGCCTCATGCTCATTCTGAGGAAGCAGAATGGACCAGCTACCTACATGGTTTGCCATTTGTTCAACACAACAATCCTCTGTTCTGAAGAGAAGAACAATGGAAACAAGGGCCCATTTACTCAACTTCTCCTCCAGCCAGTGTTTGATTTTTCATCTTCTCTAGCTAATATTTTCAATATTGTAACTAAACTGTGTTTTAGTATTCTTCTTGAAAAATTAATAAATATGATATTAGAGGATCTGCACTACAATGGGTTATTTGAAAGATAGGAAACAGTTTGTACAGATAAATGGTGTAAGATCTAAACTTGGTGATATCACATGTGGAGTCCCTCAGGGCTCTGTACTGAGACCCAAGTTATTTATTTTATATGTGAATGACTTAGTAAATGTGTCAGGACTTTTCAAATGTGTTTTATTTGCTGACGATACATTTTTTTGTTTAGGTAAAGATATGAAAATAATGTTTGAGATGGCACAGAAAGAATTAGAGAAAATACAAAATTGGTTTCAACAAAACAAATTGTCATTAAATTTGGATAAAACAAATTATATGATACTTAGTAATAGGAAGACAACTGTTGATTTTTTCGTTTAGAGTAGATGGTACTGATCTGTGAAGTCTGTGAGGTGAAATTTCTGGGTGCCATCATTGATGACAAGCTGACATGGAGACCTCACATACATTATTTAAGAACCAAAATATCTAAATCTACAGGAGTAGTGTATAAAGTCAGGGAGTTATTCAGTGACAAAGCTCTGCTTGTGTTGTACAATTCAATAATTGTTCCACATTTAATTTACTGGACTGAAGTCTGGGGTAAAGCTTGCAAAACAATTACAAATCCAATTTTTATTTTACAGAAAAGAGCCATAAGAATTATCACTAGAAAAGATTACAACCATCCATCAAATACATTATTTTGCAAATTGCAAATTTTGAAATTCTATGATTTCGTTGACTATTAATATTTTACTGTTTATGTACAAGGCTCACAGAAACGTATTACCTTCCAACATTCAGGTAAACTTTGTTAAGAGAGACAGTTGTTATTATCTAAAGGGGATGGAAATATTTGTGAAGCTGTATTTTCATACTTGCTTGAAAGAAAGATGTACTTTAATCCAAGGTGTAGGATTGTGGAATGGTCTGGAAGATGATCTTAAAAATGCCAGATCTGTGTACATATTTAAGACAAAGATAAAATCTAGTTTGTTGAAGGTAAATGGAAAAGTAAAATGTGAAGCTATATGAATTGTTTGAGTTTATGTTTTTATTTTTATTTAGTATTGTTTTGTAAATTATGTTTTGTTTGAATATATTC